CTCTCTCTCTCTCTCTCCCTCTCTCTCTCTCTCTCTCTCTCTCTCTCTCTCTCTCTCTCTCACGAGAATGAATCTTCCTCTTTATCGAGGAAGATTCATTCTCGTTGGAAAGGTCTGATTTCGTTTTTTTTTTTCTTTTTTCTTTTTTGCAGAATGTTGTATGTTTTTTTTTATTGTTTTGTTTTTTGTTTTCCGTTGTGTCCTACGGTTGTCCGAGGCTCGGCAATAAAGTCCGAGGCTCGGAAATGACCGGGCTACCGGTAGCCTGAGCCACGGGCCTTGACAACCGGTAGGTACTGGTGGTTTAAGACCCCGCCCCCCCCCAAAACCAAAGTCCATGTACGGTTGATGGAAAAAGAAGCCCCCATGTCCCCATGTAACAACCCCCATGAAATACCCATGATTTTTCTTTTTTATTTAACCACCTATTGGTTCTTGGTTTGGTGGAAAGGAAAAAGGGCGGAAAAGTCCCTCGGGACATCTGAGAAGGGTAGTGGTAGTTTAAAATTGGATTGAAACAGAGAAGATTAGCGTGGTCCCTGCGCAAGGATGACACGCCCAAATCAAGAGATGGTCCAAATTCACAAAAAACAAGGGCTGAAAAAGTGGGAAGGGGTTCTGAATCTACCATACTTGCGGCGCATCGACGTGCGCTGCACCCCACACACGCGCTGCACCGCGCACGGGTTGCGGCGCACCCCGAAAATAAAAGGTCGACAAAAAAAAAAAAAAGTTGCCGAGGGGTGTTCTAGGCCCAGGTGGGATGTCGCGTTGCGAACCACAAAAAAAAAAAAAAAAAAAAAACAATTTGAGGCCGCGCGGAGCCTCGGAAAAGAAGTTAGTTTGTTTTTGAAGTTTTGAATTCGGAATGCTGCCCCTCGCTGCCTGGATGAACCCCGGTAGTCCAGCTTTGTGCCCTTCGCGCCCGCCGTGCGTTGCCCGTCGCATGGTTGCCTGCACGTCTCCTGTGCAGCAGCAGCAGTCGAAGGCGTCGTCATCCAGCCATAGTCAGGGCACAACAGTCATCGTGAAGGAGCCGAAGAAGCAGCGGGAGGAGCGCGACCTCAGCTCGTAAAGTTGCCAGGTGGGTAACCACCAGCACCTCTCTCTCTCCCCTCCCTCTCTCTCTCTCTCTCTCTCTCTCTCTCTCCTGACTTGTTCCGCCGCTTCCCACCATCCCGCCTTCGTCTTTTCTCCCGCCATCTCCCACCTTCGGCTTTTGTCCCACCATCCCGCCTTCGGCTTTTTCTCCCACCATCACGCCTTCGGCTTTTCTCCGTCCATCTCCCACCTTCGGGTTCTACTCTCTCTCTCTCTCTCTCTCTCTCTCTCTCTCTCTCTCTCTCTCTCTCTCTCTCTCTCTCTCTCTCT